GTGGAGGGTCGACGAAAGGGAGAGGTCTTCAAGAGATGGATTGGCACGGTGGCTGTGATGATGGGCTCAAGTATAGCAGGGATTGTGGAGCTGGTGCAGGATCAGGCAGTATTTCTTTCTGCTGTGCATGGGGTCACTATGAGTCGGAAACAACTCGACGGCACTTAACAACAACAGCAACAGATGTCCTAATTTTACAGATGGAATAATGAAAGAATGATAAATTACAAAATTTATTGAGACACTTTTATATTTAACAAACATTTATTAAATGTGTAATATTTGCCCATACAACACTTGTTGTTGTTAGGTGTCATTGAATCTTCTCTGACTCATAGTTACCCTGTGGTTAACAGAATGAAGCACTGATCAGTCCTGCCTCAGCCTCACAATCCTTGCCATTCCTGACCTCTTCATTTCTGCCACTGTATCATTCCATTTCACTGAGGGCCTTCCCCTTTTTCACTGACCCTACACTTTACCAAGTATGATATCCTTCTCCAGAGAATGGTCCCCTTCAACAACATGACCAGATTAGGTGAGACGAAGTCTGGCCATTCTAATTTCCAAGGAGTCTTCTGGCTGCACTTCTTCCAGGACAGATTTGTTAGTTCTGGCAGTCCATGGCACTTTCAGTATTCTTCACCAGCACCACAACTCAAAAGCATTAACTCTTCTTCAGTTTTCCTTAATCATTGCCCAGCTTTCACATGCATATGAGGTGAAAGAAAACACCATGGCTTGGGTTAGGCACACCTTAGTGTTCAAACAGATAACTTTGCTCTTCATCACTTGAAAGAGGTTTTTTTCAGCGGATTTGCCCAAAGCAATATGTCCTGATGTCTTGACTGTTGCTTCCATTGTTGATTGTGGAACCAAGTAATATGAAATCTTTGACAACTTCAACTTTTCTCCATTTATTCTGTTGCTTATTGGTCCAGTTTTGAGGATTTTCATTTTATGTTGAGGTGTAATCCATACTGCAGACTTGCAGACTTTAATCTTCATCAGTAAATGCTTCAAGTCATCTTCATTTTCAGCAAGGAAGGTTGTGTTGTCTGCATGTTGCTGATGGTTAAAGAGTCCTCCTTTAACTCTGATGCCATGTTCTTCTTTGTATAGTCCAGCTTCTCAGATTATTTGCTCACCATACAGATTGAATAAGTATGATGAAAGAATACAACTATGACACATCCCCTTCCTGATTTAAAACTATGCAGTATCCCCTTGTTCTGTTCTAATGACAGCCTCCTGGTCTATGTACAGGTTCCACTTGAGCACAATTAACTCTTCTTGAATTCCCATTCTTCTCAATGTTATCCATCATTTGTTATGATCTACACAGTCTAATGCTTTTGCATAATCAATAAAATACAAGTGAACACCTTCCTGGTATTCTTTGTTTTCAGCCAAGATTCATCTGACATCAGCAATGATATCGCCAAAAGGGCAAAGAGGCTGCATCTTCTGTCCTTCTCTAAACCCACAAGAGAAAGACAGAATCACCCTCAGTAGCCCAAGGCCTATTCTTGCAAAGCCAGACATGCTGCCTTCCTCCAGCCCTTTCACCAACCATGACACCAACCATTCCTCCTGCAGCACCCACCACCACTCTGCTTGGTTCCAGAATTCACTGTGGTGGCCATGCAGAACTCACTGATTATGAGGTTAATTAGAAAAGCAACAGGCTACAAATCAAGTTCAGGAACACTCTCAGCCTCTCTCAGACCACCATCTCTCAGCCAACAGTCTCTCTCAATCCCTCTTCCAACAGAGGGTGTCTCTTGGTGTCTCTCTCTCAGCAATGTGTGTCTCTTGGTGTCTCTCTCTCAGCAATGTGTATCTCTCACTTCTCTTAGCCAGAAGTGAGAGAGACTCCTTCTGCGTCTAGAAGGGCTCCTCTTGAACCTGGCAGAGTGGCCAAACTAACTCATCCCAACATCAGAATTCTATATACCTAAGAGAGAGAGAGAAATTCCCGAAAGATTCCTTCATACCACGTTCAAAAGAAATACCCACAGGTGGATAACTTTAACAATCAGTAGCTACTCAGTTGTCACAGAAAATTCTACCATGGAGTTTACAAAAATTTATGACTAGAAAAGCCACACTATGTAATTTACTACATTGCAGATATACTTCATTCCATGTCCTCTTCTGAATCCAGTGTTACAACAGTTCTTGAATTATGTTCAGCAAAATTTTACCTGCATGTGATATCGATGATATTGTTCAATAATTTACACATTCTGTGGGATCACCTTTCTTTGTAATGGGTACAAATATGGATCTCTTCCAGTTAACTGGCCAGGTAGCTGTCTTCCAAATTTCTTGACACAGATGAGTCAGTACTCCCAGGACAACATTTGTTTGTTGAAACATCTCAGTGGGTATCCCATCAATTACTGGAGCCTTGTTCTTTGCCAATTCCTTCAGTGTGGATTTGGCTTCTTCCTTCATTATCATTGGTTCTTGATCATATGCCACCTCCTGAAATGGATGAACATTGACTAATTCTTTTTAGTACAGTAACTCTGTGTATTCTTTCCATCTTCTTTCGATGTTTCCTACATCATTCAATACATTGGCCATAAAATCTTTCAATATTGCAACTTAAGGCTTGTTCCCCATACCTCTATTTTAATCCAGAGAGATATTGAGGAAGCTCTGGTAGAGTAGCCATATTAATTATTCTATCCACAAATAAAGTAAAAATATAGAATGAATTATTCTATCTTAACCATTAGCATAGTGCCTAAGGACTTGACTGCTAATCAGAAGGCTTGAGTTTTTCTTCAATTCTTTCAGCTTGAGGAATGCTCAGCATGTTCTTCCCTTTTGGTTTTCTAACTCCAGATCTTTGCATACTTCATTATAATAATTGGCTTTGTCTTCTCAAGCTGCTCTTCGAAATCTTCTGTATAGCTCTCTTATCCTGTCATTTCTCCCATTTGCTCTAATTATTCTCCATTCAAGAGTAAGTTACAGATTCTCTTCTGACATCCACTTTGGTATTTTCTTGGTTCCTGTCTTTTTAATGAACTCTTGTTTTCTTCATGGTTGATATTCTTGATGTCATTTCACAGTTCATCTCGTTTTTGGTCATTGGTGTTCAATGAATCAAATCTATTCTTTAGATGGTCTCTAAATTCAGGAGGAATGTAATCAAGATCATATTTTGGTATGCATGGACATGTTTTAACTGTCTTCAGCTTCAACTTGAACTTGCATATGAGCAATTGATAGTCTGTTCTACAGTCAGCTCCTGGTCTTGTTTTGACTAAAGATATTGAGCTTCTCCATCTCTTCTACACAAGATGGTGGAAACAAAATTTCAACACAATAATAAACATTGATCTGTGACTTTGATACGTAACTTATTATAATTTAGACATCTTTTTTCTGAATTGAAATTTTGCTGCTGTATATCCATATGTGTGTGTGCACATGCTTATGTTTTTCTTTTTTTTATCATATGGTTTCCTTTTGATACTATTAATCTCTCTCTTAATATTTATTTACTCTTGCCATCTTTAGGAGATAGTCAACTTCAACTGTCGGAAACTGGTGGCTACAATGCCTCTATTTGCTAACGCGGATCCTAATTTTGTGACTGCCATGCTGAGCAAGTTAAGATTTGAAGTGTTTCAACCAGGAGATTATATCATACGAGAAGGAGCCGTGGGTAAAAAAATGTATTTCATTCAACATGGTGTTGCTGGTGTCATCACAAAATCCAGTAAAGAAATGAAGCTGACAGATGGCTCTTACTTTGGAGGTTAGTAAACACAAAATGCAATTGAGATAAAATCTAATTTTTTTGAGATCTGTGTCTTTATCAAAATTTTAAAGATGCCAGATTGCTGGTTTAAAATATGGATTTATACATGAATTGTGATAAAAGCATATATGAGTATGCTTTTGTATTTCAATGACATGTGCTCAGGGCTTATGAATTTACTAGTGTATTAGTTGGAGTATTATTTCATTCTCTTTAACTGAAACCAAGTACCAGTATCTTAAACCCAGTGGAAAGTATATTTTTTTCTGACACAAAAATCCCAGCAGAACTGGTCAGATGGCTATCTTCAGGAGATTTTTCAGGATCTAGATTAACAACAACAGATTTTTTTTTAATGTGTTGATCTGCCATCAAACAAGAATTGGTTTTGTGGCCTACATGAGAGTAGCTGCTTGCTCTCTACCGGTTTTTCATATGATGCCTTAGAGTGGGGATACAGAAGAAATGAAAAACAAGCAGATTCTCTTCAGATACACACTCCAGAAATTTCCCATATCGCTGCTACTCAAAAGTAATTGGTGATAATTTAGATAGAGTATCACATCCATCCTCGGAAGGAAGGTTGGGCATTCCTACTTCCGTAGTGACACTGCCTCGGAAACCCAAGGAGGGGTTGCTATGAGTCGGGGCCAACTTGATGGCAAACAACAACAACAACAACATCACATCCATCAAGGATCATGAGGCTGGCACAGGACTGGGCAGTGTTTTGTTCTGCTGTGCATAGGGTTACTATGAATCAGAGACAACTCGATGACAACTAACAACAACAACATCACATCTAGCTGGAAGAAAGGCTGGAAAATGTAGCTTGTAGCTGAGTGACAATTTACTCTGCTAACGATTCTGAAAATTTCAATTGTTGCCAATATATATATATATATATATATATATGACTAAGCACATGTACAAAAATTGCATAGAAGTGTTAGGTAAATGGAAATGCATATTTTTAAACTGAGATAATTACACTAAATTGCTTCTTTGATGAGATGACCTGTTTCTACATTGCTTTGCTAAGTGGTTTTTAGTTTTGTCCTCTTAATAAGTTAAAATGTCATCCCCTATTGTTGCGCTTGCATTTCCTCTATTACTTGTGAGGTTGAAGAATCTGTTTATTGATTTCTCGATCATTTATATTTATTTTTCTGTTTGCATTTTTTGCATATTTTTCCACTCTGTCTTTTCAAAACTTATTTAAGAATTGGTATCTATTTTGTATATATTCTGTACATCCTTATCTTCTTTAAGGTTTTTTTTTTTTTTTTTTAACTTTGTTCACAGTCTTTTATCATTGTGATTTTCATTTTGTTGATTCAAAATGATTTTTGCCTTTAAGGCTGTAGATAATTTCTTTCTTAAGTGGGTTTTGAACACTATAAAATTAGAGAAATTAATTTTATATTTTTATATATTGTGTTTAGTTTTATTACATTTTATTACTACTTTATTTATTCTTTTGTTATGGTTGTTTATTATTATACATTATTACATTTTTATATTCATATTAATTTAAACATATTTTTGAGTATAATGTGTGAGATAATATTCTGTATTTATCCCAAAAGAAACAATTTTTTCAACAATAACTAGTGGATGAATAACTTTTCATCCTCTCCGCAAAATTTGATTTTTTATAATATGCTGAGTTAAAGAAATTTTCTTTAATCACATCTAAGATATATATATATATATATTAGAAAAGGTTCTGAACTTTATTTATTTATTTTTTTAAATTTATCAAAATAATCATAAGTTATTGTCAATCTAGTGTGGCCAAGTAAAACATATTTACTGAAAATAATTAATCTCTTTGACTTTCTGCTATCTCACTAAGGACAAATTTGAATTTTTTAGCTTTCTTTTACTTCCCACTCTCCTTCCTTGTCTAAAAGATTATGTGTTGCCTCCTCAACTTCTTAGCCTTTTGTGTAGAATGAGAAAAGCCGAGACGCTAATAATCTGTTTTAGGAAGGGCAGAGAACTAATGTTTGTGAGAATGAAAAAGACTAAGATTGAAATTGAAAGCTGATGGGATAAGAAATAAAAGTATATCTGTAGGCCAGATTTGAAGGAGGTTGTTTGAGAGGAGCACTGATGGTTCAGTGGTTAAAGCACTAGACAGCTAATAAAAGGTCTGGTTGCCTTAGAAACCTTCTGGCACAGTTCTACTTTATCCTATAGGGTTGCTATGAGTTGGAATGCACTCCATGGTAAAGATTTGGGTTTTACTTGAGGGAAAATAGTTTTGAGGCAATTGCTAGGGTTGTGCTAAATATATATAAAAAAAAAGTTTAGAAAAGAATGTTTTAAAATATGAATTAATAATATGTTTCTACATTTGATGTACATTTTTTTTAAATTCAAAAACCCTTCGACTCTTCTAGTTATATTTGGTAATATGACTAAAGTTTCACATACAGACTGAGATATATGCTTTCCTGCTTTATGTGGGTCAAACTATTGGTAAAGTAAATTACATTGTTGAATGAACTGTATTGAGCCATAAGATTATTTCTGGTGTGGGGAGGGGAAGAGTCAAACAAAACAAAATAAATGTGTCTTGAATTATTTCTTTAACAGAGTGTAGCATCTCTGTCCATGAGTGAGATTGGTCTGTAATTTTGTTGTTATCATGGTTATTTTGAGATTCCCTTGTTGACTTTGGATATCAGGTTTGCTCATCTTTCAGAAAAAGTAA